TTTTAGCCTCACCTCTAGGCTCAGGTGCTCATACTTGCACATGACACCCCCTGCTCCAGGTGTCCACCATCAGGCCCGCATGCCTCGCGCCTGCGCTCCCAAGCGCCTCCTGCATTAGCACCATCAAGGCCACAGGTGAAAGCCACAGAGGCTCGTGGCATAAAAAGCCACTCACCCCGCAGTCCTCTTGCCTGGCCCTGGAGCCTCCTCGGCCCCTCCCCCCCAGCTCACTTGGCAAAGCTAGCGTCTCCCTCCGCCTCCTGCTCAGCAGTTTAATCAGCTTCATTACCGCTTCCAGCCACTTAATCCCTCCCTGGGGACTCACCTTCTGCCTCAGGAGCAAGTGGCTTTGGCTACAGCCCGGGCTGGACCCCGCGCACAGCCACCCTGAGGGGCTGCCACCTGCCCGCACCCCTCCTGGCGCGCCCTCACCTCTGCGCCCCTCACCCCGCTGGCCTGGCCCCCCTCACAGCACCTCCCCCCTCGCACTGTGCTGGGCCCTCACACAGGTTTATCCCGAGGGCCAGCGGCCCCCAGAGGGGCACTGGCCTCAGGGACAGTTTTAGGGCCAGTGTCTCATTGTCTAAAGGAGGCTTAGAACTGGACGCCCAGGCCCACCCAGGCCTCCACCTCGCGCTCGGGCTGGAGGGAAGGGCTGGACACTGAGGTGCCCCTTGCTCTACTGCTCGCCCGGCTTCTGCCGCTTGGCTGGTTGTCTCCCAGCTTCTCAGCACCCTGAGCGGCCCTGGCCCCTTTCCCTGGCACGGAGGGGCCCGGGTTCGTCCCCTGCCCCGAGCGGCGCTCGCGGACCCAGAGTCTCTGCTTCATCCCACCAGCGCGTCTGTCTGTCTCTGCGTCTGTCTGTCTCTGCGTGAGTGAGTCTGTGTGAATTGTGTTGTGCACATGTCAGAATTTCCCTCTTTTTTCAAGCCTCCCTCTCCCCTCCCTCCTAATCTCCGAAGTGTCTCTGCGTTCATAGCCCCCCAGTCTGCTGAGCGTTCTGTCCTTGTCCCCGCTCCACCCGCGCCCGTGTCCCCCGGTGCTGCCGGGCTCCCCGCGCCGGCTCCCCGCCTGCTCTAGCGGCATCCGTCTTCCTCCTGGCGGAACCGCGTGGCCTGGGCAGCCGCGGCCCCTCAGGCTCGCTCTGCGTCCTCGTGACGACGATGCTGCGTGAACTCTGTGCAGCGCGTGAGCTTGTGGCTGCTGGTCCCACGCGGTTCAGACCGGCGCTGAGCACGGGCTGCTGGCGGCCAGTCCTCCGGCTGTTCGCCATTTCCAGGGAACCCCGCTCTCTCCGAAGTGGCTGCCCCTGCTTGCAGTCCCCAGGTGTGCTGGGGCTCCTCTCTCCTCCCAGCACTGTTGTTGGGGTCTTTTAATAGATGTAACTAATGTGTGCCCCCCTTTCGGGCGCCAGGGGGCACCTCGTGGCTTTGACCCGAGTCTCCCTGATGAACAGCGATGACTATTTCTCTACCTGTTCACCTCTGGGCATCCTCGCTGGTGAACTGCCTACTCCGTTCCGCTGCCCCATGTGCTAGTTGGTTGCACCCAGATTTTCACCCCACCTCTGCCGCCTGTGGGGCCAGAACACCCCTGGGTGGAGGTGGAGAGGCCCCCAGCTCTGCGGCCCGTGTGACCCAAGGGGCCGGTGCACAGCTGGCTGAGCCCTGCCAGTTCCTCCCCTTCTCTGAGGCGGGTTCATCACCATCTGTAAAACAGGTCCAAGAACGACTGTCTGGAGTTGTGGGAAGAGCCCATGAAATCACATGTGAAATACATGGTGCGACGTGCGGCGGAAGTCAGCCGTGTCCCCCTCCCACCCAAGGGTCCCCTGGCAAAGAGGACAGAGAGGCTGGAGGGCTCCCCCACCCAGACCTGCTCTCTGTGGCACCCTGGGCCTGCGGCTCCTCCTGCTTACTCCCAGATGCGTTCAGTGAAAGTTCCTGAAAAGGGTTAATTAGCCGTAGGAGCCTTGGGGCTCTGCCAGGTGAAACGAACCCATCACACAACTACAGACACCGGAGCCGCTCGCAGGAGTGAGGTTCCTGGAGAGACGGGACTCAGGTGGGCAGCCTGGGGCTGGGAAGGGGCGGGGGCTGTGGTTTATTGGCGTGAGGTTGCAGTTGGGAAGATGGAACGTTCTGGAGGTGGGTGGTGGGGACGGCACTTGATGCCCCGGCTGCAGCTTCCCAATGGTTCAGGCGGCGCCATTTTGTTATGTGTATTTTATCACAATGAAGAAACACTTTGGAAAAAGCGCCTATTGGCCTTGCACATTCTGCTGCTGGAGCCCCCAGGAGCTGTGGGAACTTGTTGCATGGACTTGGATGACGACAGCCTTCCCTCTCAGGCGGGGGCTCAGTGAGTAAGTCACTGTGGAGTGACTTAGTGCCGAGTCCCTTTGGAGCACCCTGGTGGCCCCCAGTGCCGTGGGACGGGGTCCACAGCTCCCGGGTCGCACTGGAGCGCAGGGTCCATGTGTGGCAGCTGACGCGGCGGCAGGGATCACACGTCACATGTCATCGCACGCCAGCCACTCCCTGCACCAAGACACGGCCCCAGCAGCCAGGCCACCAGGGAGGAGGCGTGCAGGCCCTGCCTCGTGTGCCACGGGGCACGCACGGGCAGCAGCCACGTCCTGGCCTGCCAGGGCTGCGGCTTGGTTTCTTCTCTCCCTGGGGCAGAGCTGGACGCCTCTGAGCCGAGTGGGCAAGGCAGGGCTCCCCCAGCGCCCAGGACAAGCAGACATGGCCTTACTGTCTGGCTCACTGGCTCTGATGGGTTTTAAACCCTAAATTGTTCTCTAACCTTTGACTGGATGTTTGGGCCAAAGAAAACCAGCCTCAGCCCCCGTCTGCTGACCGCATCTCAGTGACTCGCGGACACCTGCTCAAACCTGCACTTCTCCGCCTTCACCGGATCTTCTCAGGCCTCAGAGCCAATTCCTGAGGCTGAAGTTCAAAGCTGAATCACAGGGCTCCTGGCTCTTCAAAGAGATCTGTCTTCCGGTTACAACATCCCCCAAAGAGACGTGGTTCGAGGGAACGTCCCAGCCGACGTTTTCAATCAAGTGATGAACGTGTGCCCGGACCATCTCAGGCAAGCATGACCGTCTCCCCCAGAAGGGCTCAGGCAGCACCTGCCCAGGCCCGCGCGTGACCAGGGCGCCACATAAATCAGTGACAGGCAACGCCCCCGTCAGCGCCCCCGTCATTGAGTTGACGAGACTCTAGGTCCATAGAATGTTTTTGTGTGTGTGTGGGACCCTCGCCGGCGGCCGGGGAACGAACTGGCGCTGCAGAGGCAGCGGGCAGCCTCGCAGCCCAGGGCTCAACCGCTGCGCCACCAGGGGAGGCCCAAGGTCCATAGCATTTCTGATGGGCAATAATGTGGCTGTTCTGCCCAAGGATGAAGAAGTAAACTAATGAGCTGGGAGCTATAAACTCATGCCAATCTCGCATTACACCCTTGGCGGACCCCCGAGGCCGACCTTCTACCTTGCTCTTCCTCACCCACGAAACGCGGAGCAGGAGCAGATAAAAAACAAAAGAGGAAGAAAAAGCAACAGCAAATGGCTTCCTGCCGCAGTCGTTTCTGTTTCTGCCCTGCGATGTGCCGGACTCCACACCCAGGAGGAGAAGGTTCGCGCCTCCCTGGCATTTCACGGTTGATTTTTCCCCATCAGCGAGCGGCACAGCTGAGCGTCAGGGCGCTCCTAAAACCATCACCACTTGCGAGCGCCGGCGCGGCAGGCATGAGAAGGAGCCAGCGCTCACGTTAAGTGGGAGCAGCTGGCCGCCTGGCTTAGTGACGGGGCTGTTAATGGAAAATGCTCCGTAGGGGCATCCTGTGAGGTCCCGGGGCCCCCCCACCCCCGGTTCTGTTTCCCCCGCCCCCACCTCTTCTGGACTCGGAGGAGGACATTCAGCCGACCTGCCCTGCGGCCTCTCCCAGGGCTGTGTGCAGATGAAGGATAGAGCAGGGAGCCGTGGGCATCACACCCCTTCAACAGAAGCGACACTGAGGCCCTAGAATTACCACGGACCTTCTGCCTGCTCGCCAAGCCCAGCCCTGGCTCCAGTGCCCCCCACTGCAGCCCCACGGGGGGCCGGAGCTCGCGGTGGGTCGTGTGGGTTCTGGAGTCAGACCCCAGGCCCTGTGCCCGCCTGGTGTGTGCGAGATGGCGCCGACACCCTTAGCTGAGCCCCGGCTATGTCTGTGAACGTGGTGAGGCCCTAAGACCCCATCAGAGACTAAGTACCCCCATTCCTGTGTTGAAGCCCTAAGCCCCACAGGTGGCAGTTGGAGGTGAGGCCTTTGGGGGTTGATTTGTCCCGAGGAGGTGGGTGGTCAGCGTGGGCCCGGGGTGGGACGATATCCTGAGGGGTGGGAGGGAGAGCAGAACTTTCCACATCACCGAGCAGGGGCACCTGCGAGCCAGGAGGAGGGGCTGGGCAGGATCCAGCCAGCTGCTCCTTGGCAGGGATTTCTCAGCCTCCAGAACCGTGAGGCGACCCACGCTCCCTCGAGCCAGCCTGGTCCTCCGGGAAACGGTCTCTGTCTTTATATTTGACTCTTGAGAACACAGGAGCATCGCAGGCGTTCTGAATGCTCAAAGCTGCCCAGCTGGCCGAAGCCCTTCGTGCCTGTCCCCACCCCACCCCGGCCCGCTGCACCCCCGATTGCATTGACCGCTCCCGCCTGTTCGTTACACTGACCCCAGCGGCACAGATCTGTCAACAGAGGCTGAGCTGGAAGCAGGACTGACACGTGCCTCTTCCCGAAGGAGCTGGACATTGGGGTCCAGCCTGGTGCCATGTTCCTTCAACAAGCATGTCTTCGCCCCCACTTCTGTCTGTCTTCTCAGCTGCTCACTCTCAGACCCGCGGGTGCCCCAGGCAGACCGGTCGGCCGTGCAGGCCATCAGCGGGTGTCCTGTGGGTGGCTGTGCCTACGAGGGCAGGCCACCCTCCCGCTCAGTGCCCACCCCTCCCTTCCAGGCGGAGATGCGGCTGCAGGACCAGCAGCTGGCCCGGCAGCTCATGCGCCTGCGCAGCGACATCCACCAGCTGAAGATCGAGCAGACCTGCGACCTGCACCGGAGGATGCTCAACGACGCCACGTGTGAGCTGCAGGAGCGGGATGAGCTGTCGGACCTGCTGTGCGAGTCCCCACTGGCCTCCTCCTTCAGCCTGTCCACGCCACTCAGGCTCATTGGCGTCACCAAGATGAACATCAACTCCCGGAGGTTCTCTCTCTGCTGAGAGCCCGGAAGGGGGCCAGAAAGGGGCCAAGGAGCCAGGACAGGGCAGGAGGGCAGGGGTGGGTGGAGCGGCCCTCGGTTGCCCCAGTGCCTCTCTGCAGACCAGGGCTTCCTGCAGCTGGTGAGCTGGGAGCCCCCCAGGCCTTGTAGGCAGGAGCTCCCCCGGGGGGCCTGGTGGTAGAATCTGGGGTCCCCCGGACTGGTTCTAGCTCAGTTCCCTGAGAGTCTGGAAGGGCCACTCCATCCAGACTGGGTGAGAGCAGTTCCCCCCATGATGCTCTCAGCCACACCCCTGCTTCTGGTATCATGGGTGCTGGGAGCTGGGGTCCAGAGGGCCCCCGAACTGTGATTCTTGTGGAGGCCTTCCAGGGTGTGATCAGACTGTCAGGGTCCATTTTGCTCTTGCTGCCCTTCAGGGCTGAGTCCAATTCACCTGAACAGGTGACCCAGCCATTGTACAGGGATCCTGGAGCAGAAAACCAAAATGCATGACAAAGTAGAGCTCGGGGGTGCAGGCCCCACTCCAGTGCCCCACGGGCATGGCCCCGCACCCAGCCCTGGGCGCTGGGTGTGTGAGCACATGTAACACGTTTCAGACGTGTGCTGGGATACTTTAGTGCCCTGGGTGGGGCATGACATCTGCCCTCTGTGGTGTCCTGGCCACACCTACCAGCCCCAGAGAGCCCCTGGCCACCCCCAGCTGGGCAGCGCCGAGGAGACCCTGTGACCAGCCCCGCAGTCCGTCGTGGGCCTCGGTCCTGGGTGCCCTCGGGGCCAGCAGCATTACCCACGTCACCAGCTTGTCCACCCCAGGAAGACCAGGGCCCGGAGCTCACCCCGCCCCGGGCCCCGGCTGACTCACTCTGCTTGAGTCAGGCTGGTGCTAATCTGTAGCTAATTTGTACAAGAGTTAAGTGTTTGATTTTTGTCCAAGCGGTGAAGTCAGCTGGGCAGGGCAGGGCAGGGGTTGGGATGAGAGTTTTCACCTGTGAGGACAGAGCCCCCCACAGTCTGGAAGGTTTGCCTGGTAGGAAGCCATGGTTGGGGTTCCCGTCGGGCCTGTGGGGGCTCCCCTGTGAGGTCCCGAGTGGCCCCCTTGCTCGGGCGTCAGGACCAGGAGGGGGCAGGGCCTCCGCCAGGGAGCCCAGAGCGAGAGCATCAGCGAGTTAGGCTGCTGGAGGGTCACCGGTCAGTGAGCCGAACCCCACTGTGGTCCTGACGCTTTGCCAGACCCCCTGATTGCCACCCCCGCCCCTCCCCTGGCCCCTGCACACCTCCCACCTCAGAATATGGGGGCCAAAGTCAGCAGTGCCTGACCGTGGGGCCACGGGACCCCCTCACCAGCCACCACCCCACAAAAATGGGGTGACCTGCCCCTCTGCTTTCCCCAGTCCCTTCCTGTGGGTCACCTGGGGGCTGGGCACATGTCCACCTGCCGCACTCACCACACACACACACCACTCGTCACCCACGCCACATTCACAGGACACACCGGCACACTCGTCCCACACTCACCACACGCGCACAAGACTCCGCAGGAGAGGCTGTTTTTCCTTGTGGGCCGGGAGCGGAGCAACCAGGGAACAGCCGTCTCGGGACGGCCAAGACTGTGGGCTTGTCCCGCAGTTCCGGAGCCTCCCCAGAGCCTCCCCAGAGCCAGTCCACCCCTGCTGCTCATCGCCGCACCGCGAGCTGCACGGGAGCACGGCCTGCGCCCCCAGCCCACCGGGCACCCCAGCCTCCTTGCCGACAGGCCCTGCGGTCAGGGCCCAGCCTGGCCCCCACACCTCATCACTCCCTCCAGAGACACCCAGGCCACACTGGAAAGCTGCTCTGTACTCTGGAAATAATGCCAAATTGATGCCTTCTAGAACTCAGTAACTGGACAAGTCAGATCCCACTAACGCTGAGACATGAGTCGAGTCCATTGAATCAGCGTCAGCTGGCGGTGGGTCGGCCGGCGCCCTCCTTTCTCTGTTCTCGGGAGGACGCTGAGCCCCAGGGTGCGTTTCCAGATGGGTTGATGTCTCAGCCATTCTGCTTCGCCCCTGCCAAGGGCACTTTATTTGGGGTGTAAGGGAGGAGGTGAGGCAGAGGGTGTTTCCAGCTCGTGCGGGCGCGTCTGCTCCTGGTTTCCATGTCAGCTCAGGAGAGGCGGGTCCGTGAGTCCCGGCGCCGGCCCAGGGCAGCCGTCCGCTCCTGGGCCTGTCCCGTCTGTCCCCAGGGACCCCGGTGTGGACACGCATCCCCCGGGCTCGGGAGGTCTGTCCTCCTTGGCCTCGCCAGTGACCAGGGGCCTGTGACACAGCAATACCAAGTGCTATTATTACATAATCGACAATTTATAATTTTATTTTTTATGATCATCTGTTTCTATATTGGTGGTAGAAAAGTGAAATTAAAATATTTCAAAAGAAGGTGTCTGGAAAGAGAAATTTGCTTCCTTTTAGCTTGTTCCGGCACGCCCGACCACGCTGCGGGGGAGAGAGGTGGGAAAGAAGGGCAAGCGGCCGTGGGCCACGGGAGGGGGCGAGATGAAGCCCCCCCACTTCGTGCCTCCCCCAGGGCTGCTCGGGGGTAGCCGTTGGGACTCCCCAGTGTGGACAGTGAGTGGACAAGGTGTGAGTCAAAAGACGCAGCCGGGGCCCCCGGACGCGTCAGGAGCGGAGCCGGAGCGGCCCTGTGTCACTCGCCCCTGCCAGCCGAGACGCGGCACGGGTTTGGCTGAGGTCGGCGCGGGCCTGCCAGGGGCCTGCCACGGGCCCGAGCCTCGAGCCACGGTTATTCCATCCCCGCTGACGGCGCTTGGCGCCCGGGGCCAAGCTCTCCCGACACAGAAGAGCGGGGCCGAGTCCAGCACCTGGGGTCCCGCCACCGAGAGGCCCCACGGAGGAGGGGCGCAGACAGAGGAGACCGAAGACGCACCGGGGGGGCAGAGGCGCCCGCGGCCTCTAAGGACGAATGATGGCGGGAGGGCAGTCGTCGGCCCAGGGCTGCTGAGGGCGAGGAGGCAGTGGACGGGGGACAGGCTTGGCGGACAGAGGGCAGCGGTTGCAGCCACCTCCGTGCAGGGGCGGGCAGAGTGGGGGTGCAGGGGCGGGCAGAGTGGGGGCGCAGGGGACATGGTGGCGTGGAGAGGAGAGACGGCGCTTCCTGGCGGGCGTGCTGCGCGGGGGCAGAGAAACGGGGCCAGCTCTTGCAGTGAGGTTCCATAAACGGAGCCGCCCGGCCAACGGGCTGGTGCCCTGGAGACGGAGACGCGGGGCGCGAGGGAGCGGAGGGCGCTGGCAGCCACCACGGCCGCGGGGAGGGGGGCACGAGAGGCTGTGCGGGCAGGAGACGCTGCGTGGCAGCACGGCGGGAGGCTCCTGCGGGGGAGAAGGGCCGGCACATCGCCCTGCTGGCTTCTCGGCTGCTGTGGTTTCACAGGGGGCGGCCTGGGGCGACCCTGCGCCCGGCGCCCTTGGTGTCGGTTCCCCCACAGCATGCACGTCTCTGCCACGTTTGGGGGGCTCTGGAGACAAGTGCAGGCGTTCTGTGATCTCCGCCGTGGCCACCTGTGGTTAGAGACCTCGGAGGTCACCACCGTAGCCCTCCTCCGCGAAGACTGCCCAGCCAACGGCGCCCGCGGAGGCCAGCGGCTTTGCAGCAAAGACTTTTTTCATCTAAGTCTCTTGTGGATATTTTTCCCGCATATGCTATCGCACACCGAGCAGAAGGAGAGCAGGAACCACTTCACACGTGCCGAGAGCCAGAATGTCCCCGTGTGCGGCTTGGTGGCCCTGTGGGTTGGACGGCGGTCACTCGGGCCGGCGCTGTCTCCAAGGGACCCTGGGGTGACCGCAGAGATCCAGAGACGGCGAGTTAGCACGAGAGGCAGGGGCGGCCAGTGCAGTGATGGGCGGTGCTGGCCGTGGCTGGGGCTGTGGTCACACTGGGGGCAGCGCTGGACTCTGTTTGGGTGGAGTTTTCTCCACCATGTCCACCCACTCACAGTCCAGGCTGGAGAGGATGTGCAGGCAGGGACGCAGGAGGGGCAGAAGGCCAGAGGCAAAGCGTTTTACAAAGGAGCAGGTCTAGTGTTGGAGGGAGGAACCCAGGGGAGTAAGGAGGAAGGAAGAGACGCAGGGACTTGGGGTGGGGGTGGCGAGCTCCTCTGGGAGTGGCCGGAGTGAGCACCAGAGACAGCTGCCCAGGAGGGGAGTGACAGGTGGGGTGGGTGCAGCTTCTGAGACCCGCCTGCCTCCCCATAGCTACTCTGTGTCCCCTGGAAATCGTGTGCTCCAGGCTGGGGATGGCCAGCACCCGGAGCCCATCTCGGCGTTCCTAGTTAGCAGGGGCGTCGAGCAAACACTCCCTTTGACAGAAGCCTCTCCAGGAGGTTCTCAGGGCCCAGGCTGTGGTCTGCTGGCTGGGGCGGCTGTGGGGGCTGCCAGCGAACAGGGCCCCGCCACTGTGGCCACCGTGGCCACCACGGATGGGGAGGCCCAGGCAGGCGCCTTCAGACTGGGCTATTTTAAATACCCTGTTGGCAGGCGCTAAGCAGGCAGGGGTGGAGACAGCGAGGCGGTCTCCGAAGGAAGCGGATTCAGCCAGGGAAACCTCAAAGGCATCTGAGGGCCAGGAAAGCAGCCGTCCCCGCTCCGGCGAGGGGATGAGGGAGCCCTGGACGTGGCACTGCAGCAGGACAGGCAGCCGAGCCTGCGGGAGCCCCACATGACATCCCTGCAGGCCACGGTCCAGCCCGTGGCCCAGACACTTCCTGCACCGCAGGTCATACACCCCCCAGGCGCCCTCCTCTCTCCCCCTCCACGAAGGAACTGACGAGGGAGGAAGGACAACTTGGCAAAGAAGGTGCGGAAGCCCAGACCTCCCCATGCTGGCCACAGGGAGGGGCGCTCCCCCCACACTGTGCTCTGAGTGCCCCCTGGAAGGGCTGCCAGGCCTGGGGCACAGGAGGGGGAGGGCAGTGCCCCCTCTATTCCAGCCAGGCCTGGTGGGGAAGCACACGGGTCCCTCCCACTTCCAGAATTCGCTGCAGGGAAGGGGGGACTCACAGACTGGGGAGACCCAGTGCTAAGTCAGGGCTCGTGAAATTGCCTGGATTTCTGCGAACTCAGACTTTGGGGCTCCCAAAGTGGGTGATTCTCGAGCGCCCTCTGTCTGCCCCTCGTTCTGCCGCTGCCCCTGGGGGTAATGACTTCACATGCTATTGGGGGCCGACTTGTGACCCCTCAAAGCTCAATGTGGAAGCCCTGCCCCCAGGGCCTGGAAGGCGACTGTGCTCAGAGACAAGGCCTGCAAGAGTGAGGGCCCGTGGGGCCCCTGGGTAGGTCCTGAACCCCGGGGCTTGTCCTCATGGGAGGAGCTCAGGACACAGACGAGCACGGGCCAGGCCAGGTGGAGCCACAGGGAGGAGGTTGCAAAGATAAGGCGAGAACTCCTGGGAACTTCTTCCCCTTTCCACATGCCCCCAAGGCGCCTCACGTTGCGAGGCCCACACTGTGTGCCGTGCAGATCTGTCCAGGGAGCTTCATGAACGTTCTGTGGGTGGAGGGCAGGGCCTGGTCCTAAGCGCTGGCCTCAGCTCAGCAAACACCAGCGGGTAAAAGGCTTCCTCCCTGGGATCCATGGTCAGCACTGGGGTGCCCCCTGGTGGCAGAAATCTGTATAACTGTCTCTTTTTTGGTCTTTTTCTTTTCCAGATTAATTTATTTGCGCACAAGAACTGGGGTACAGGCCAGAGGTGCACGGGTGAGAGGATTCACAAGAGACAGAGTGGGGAGAAAAACAGGCAGATCCACTGAAATCCACTGCTGAGGGGAGCAGCGGGGAGACAGGAGAGGTCTGCTGCGCCATGTGGGTTGCTCCCTGGCCGGGGATCAAACTCAGGCCGCAGTGGCTGCAGATAGCTTGATAGTGCTGTGACTTAACCTCTTGTGCTACCAGGGAGGCCCCTTTTCTTATTTTTAAAATTGCTTCATTCTGGTTGACACCGTTGTTGTGTACTGGAAGTGTAGCAGTCATTGCTCCATTAAAAATTACCCTGGGGGCCTCCCTTGTGGTGCAGGTGGTTGGTTGAGCAACGCACTGTGAAGCTGTCCGCAGCCTCTGCAGCCTCTAGGTTCAATCCCAGCCAGCCGGAGAGAATCCCACATGGCGCGGCAGACCTCTCCTGTCTCGCCCGCTGCTCCCCTCAGCAGTGTATTTCAGTCAGTCTGCCTGCTCTGCTCCCTACTCTGTCTCTGGTGAATCCTCTCACCCTCCTGCACATCTGGCCTGTACCCTGGTTCTTGTATAAATAAATCTTTAAAAAAAAATTATCCTGTACCTGTTTCCTCCATGAGGTAAGGCCCATGAAAGAAGGAGTCTCCATGTCTTAATGCCCTGTGTGGCCCTAGCTGATAGGCCGCCTGGCGCACAGTAGGTGTCCTGGAAATACTTGCTGAATGAATAACTAATGAGCTCCTGTCTAACGCCTCAGGGGTGCCCCTCACGGCTCCTGGGACAATCGCGGCGTGTGGTGGATTCCCAGCTGCTTTGTGAGCCAGCTGTTCCCCGATCACTGCAGGCCGCAGAACATGCCCCAGCCCTCTGCTTGCGTCGTCAGCACATCTAAGCTCACGGGCTGCAGGCTCCCGCCTTGGATGAGTCTCTGTGGAAGCTGCACATTTCACATCTAGACCTGAAGACTTCAACTGCTTCCACCCAGAAGCCCTGTCCTGCAGGAGTCGCGTCACCAAGGACACCGAGCAGCGTGGTTACCTGTCCGTGACCCCTGCAATGGAAACCGGTGTCTCCAGCCTGTCCTCAGCCCCTTCTGGCTCTGCTCTAAGAAAAGGGGTGTCCTGCAGGTTGCAAGCCCCCTCAGCTGCCAGCTGGGCTCAGCCCCGGAGGAGGCAGCACTGGGGATGGGATACAGGAAAAGAGAAGCTGGACCCTCCCCCCACCCCACCCCCGCCCTGCCCAGACCGCACCTTGGCATTGAGTTTTCATGGCTCAGGCCCTTCTGTGGTCCAGGTGCTGCCAGAGCAGCCGGGCCCCTGGTGACCACTGGGCCGCCTCCCTCTGTCCCTCAGCCCAGACTCCCATTAAACTGTGGGTTGAGGCCCTCCTCCGCCCCGGGTAACCAAATCCCTGCATTAGGTCTCCTTCACCAGAAATGTCTCCTGCTTAATCTTTGGCTGATGTTGCAATTTCAAAGTCAAATACCAACACCCCATGAGGAGGTTCTGCTCCCCCGGCCCGACCCCCACCGGCCTCAGGCTCTCGGGTCCACGATGCCCAAGCTTGGGCGGTGATGGCCACACAGCAGGGACGTGCCTGGCCACTGGAGTGCATGCTGAACAGTGGTTGAGACAGTGAATTTGTGGAGCATGTATTCTGCCACAAAAAAAAAAAAAAGTTGGGAAAAAAGATCAAGA